AAGATTGTCTGCTCCTGGGAACAATCTGCTATGTGCTTAGCAAAGTGCTCCAGGATTCAAATTATAACAATGGTTGATTTCTAAAGGTCTCCTTTTTCTAATATATGCACTCATCAATATTTCACGCACCACAGTTCAGCATATGTGCAATTGAAATGGCATTCAACAATATGCTTGATTTCTAAAGGTCTCCTTTTTTTTGATACACCCTGTATACACCCTGATCCTGTCAATATTTTACGCATCGGTGGGTTCAGCATACAGGGTGTATAAAAAAAACGCAACCTCGGAATTTCCCAAGAAATCGACATTGTTTTAAGGACAAAAGATTTTAGGCGCCTGGGAATTTAAAATAGCACAACTGCAGACGCGAGTGTATAAAGCAAAATTTATGCATTATTTAATAAGTTTTTATTTTACAAGTACTGTACAACAACAGTAATATGACCATTAGCAATTCAACTTCAATTCCCACGGGCATAAAATCTTTTATGCTTAACAGCTTAAGAATTGCGAAGTGGATTTCGTAGGAAATTCCGAGGTTGCGTTCTTTTTTATATACCCTGTAGTGCTCAGGAATTCAAATTATAACAATAGGATAGTTTCTACAGGGTGTCTCAAAAAAACCCAAAATCATTGAAATTGACGTATTGTTCGATATTCAATGCCCTAGCACTAAGTAAGTTAATCCCACGAGTGCATAAAAGATTGACATAACTGCTATAATGAATGGTAATACTCAGCGTAAACTTGTTATGTCAGGCATAAAGTACTAAACCCACGAATGCATATTACGCATATTACAATTTACGAAGCATTTTAAATTCCCATGAGCAAACAAACGTTCACTTTACAAAGATATTTTAATTTTTTAAAACAAATTAATCACCCTGTCAAAATCCTTTGTGTTACGGCATTGAAATTCGAACAATACGTTATTTCAATGATTTTGGTTTTTTTTGAGACACCCTGTATACACCCTGTACAATACACCATGCAGTCGATCACCAGTGTAGCATGAACTGATAACAATAGAATTAGCACGTTTTGATTTCTAAAGTATACACGATCTGTTATTCAAATCAGTATTCCATATTTTTTCAAGGAAGGGCGGTCTATTTGTCACTGGACTTGCCACAAAGAAATTCGCTTTGTTGAAACGGCTGTTTTCATGTCGTATTCTCTATCGAAGTCGTATCAACACTTACAGCCTAACGGAGAAAGTATATCTTGCTAAAATTGGCAGAATTCCCTCCCATGCCGAGTATGAAACGTTCAACCAGCGAAATTGGGGCAAAATTCATATGGTCTACCAACTGAAACGTCGTTGTTGTCGGTCGTCATTTGAAAACACTGGATTGCTGGGTGGGATCCTTTAGTCTGTGTTGAAGAGCAGGCGTTCAGAGACAGCAAAATGAATTTATACATGCGAGTAAGTAAAAACGTTGACGTTTCTGTACGTAATTATTAAGTTCATCTAATACATTTTAGAATAATTGTTATTTCGTCTTGTTGAGTCGTGTCACTTGCTTTCCTGATTGGAAATGTACTGTGTGTATATTCAGGAAATTTAAATTTGTTGCAACAAGTCACCCGTCTCAGTGTAAAGGGTTTCGTTTTCACCACTTTTTATTTGTCGATTATCCGCACTAATTTTGTGCGATATTAACTCCCCAAACACGTTACGACGTATTCTCTGTCAACAATATTAAGTTGTCGATCGATCAAGTTTCCCTTGCACAGTAGGGAAACTACTTCGTCGTTGACAACTAAGAATCATAGTCTGTCAGGATATGATGGTGTGGAATCCTGGCGAAATTCGAAGTCACAAAATATAAAAAACCTTTGCTTGGTGTTTAAGTGGCAGTCCCGCTAAGAGCGGTCCGATGACTTTGACTTCGGAAAATAGATTTCCTTTATTTTTTGTGTGTTGAAAGGCATTGGTATACAAGTGTCCAAAATAAATTTATTTTTTGAAAATTCTTTTTTATGGCTTCGCTAGACGCCGAAACTCATTTTACCCGTGCAGAGCTAATTTCAAGCAAAATCGAAGGTTGAATTTCGGTAAATTGTAGAGCCGCGCTGTGTCAAAACGCCTGACTATTTCCAAATTTCAACTAGATCAACAAGTTCAGATACAATTCAGGTTCCCTGTTCCAAAAAATAGGAGCATTTGAATAAATTGTGAATAAACGACAGCAACTTGACGGCACACCGGTTTTTGCTTCTTGTTCGGTCTACAAAATTACACTAAAATCGAAGCCTGAGATCTCCAAATGGGGACCTAAAATTACGCTGAAATGTGTTTGGCTGTAATGATTTATACTTATTTTCAGAAGATCTGAAGAAAAACCTGCGGGTATATATCAATCTGTATTTGGCGCGAGTTAAGATTTTCTGGAGCCCATAATCAATGATTTTTGCATAATTTATAGCTAATTAACATATTTCTTGAGAGGCGCTAAAAGTAAACAATTTCTTTCTGACTAACATATCTCAGATGAAAGAAACTACCACAGGTAGTAATACCCTTTTTGTAAATATAGTCGTAATGTTCTTTTCCTGACACGCTGAGAGAGCTTTGTTTTTTAATGTTATGCCACATTTATTCAGTCTGACCAGATTCATATAAATGTCACGAACTTGTATATTTCAAAAATATACCAGAAATCAGAATTCAGAAAGACCGATTATTCTTTCATTGATTCAGTTGATTGATTTAGTTGATTGATTTAAAAAACTATAAGTATAATAGAACATTCCACGTATTTCCATTGCCCCTATATAGGCCTAGAATTTTTATCAATATGTTCTATTTTTCTGTGGCGACGGCATCATATTAACAAAATACGACACAAAAATGTACATTCGAATTTATGAGCGACATATCAGAATGTTATTTATGATACTAAAATAGGAATTTTGTATGCTGGGTTAGTAAAAGAAAAAGCATAATTTTAATTGTATGTAATTTCGATGAATACTATAAAAAAAATTATACGCATTGTTTATATAAATTAGCTAACATTTTTAACAAAAATATCAATTTTATAAATATTTGAATTTCAATATTTTTCTTTGAAAAAAAATATATTCGTGAGCTCCATAGCGCATGAGAATAAATTTCAAAAGTTTGTGAATTAAAATTCACAAGATACAAGTTTGATATTTTTGTTAAATAACTGATCAGAATGCTTATAGTTTATTTTGTTACATGGCTAAAACAAACGTCGCTACTATCGTAATAAATGTGTAAATGTTAGCTAATTTATATAAACAATGCGTATAATTTTTTTTAGTATAAATTTCCAGGTGACTATTGATTTTTCTGCATTCTGATTGGTTAAGATTCACTGTCTCTGAAGTGATAGTCACTGGTCAGTGACTATAGCTTTTTTTTCAAAATGGCTGCTCGTTTTGCCGTAGTCAAACAGAGGAGGAAATTGCCAAAATTAAAGAAGATAGCATTCCGAAAAAAACCAAACAAGCTATAAAATATGGTTTTAAAATATTTCAAGGTAAACTATTAAACTTTACGTGCTTTTATTTGGAAAAAAACTGGCTTAGTCGCAACGCGACACAAAGCCGTGTCTGAGATTTAAATTTTGTAAACAAACTATTTATAGCGAAAATAAATTTATTTGAAGTGAATTTTTATAAAGTTGTGTGGATTATTGTTTGTAAACACCTGGAAATTTATACTAAAACAATTAGTCGCCTCAGGCTCGGTGATTACAAGCCTATATTCACTTCGCCTTCGGCTCAGTGAATATAGGCTTGTAATCACCTCGCCTTCGGCGACTAATTGTTAAATAGTATTCATCGAAATTACATACAATTAAAATTATGCTTTTTCTTTTACTAACCCAGCATAGAAAATCCCTATTTTAGTATTTATTTCGCGTTAAGTAAATTCAATTAAAACTTCATAAATAACATTCTGATATGTCGGTCATAAATTCGAATGTACATTTTTGTGTCGTATTTTGTTAACATGCCGTCGCCACAGAAAAATAGAACATATTGATAAAAATTCTAGCCCTATATAGGGAGGCAATCGAAACACATGGAATGTTCTATTATACTTATAGCTTTTAAATCAATCAACTAAATCCATCAACTGAATCACAGGGGGCAGAAAAGTACGATTGTGTTTTATAAATACCTTGTCATCAACCAATATCCCATATTTATATTACAACAATCCGCAGACATAGTCATAAAAGGATCAAAATTAACTGATTTTTATTTTTTCGATAATATCATGCCTTCTACTTCATGTAATTCAAAATATTGCATTGCAACGGCAATTTCCGAACATCTTACGAAAGGATGCCGAGGGTGTAACCCGTACATAAATAAGAAAGGGATGAAACGCCGAAAATCTTTCGTTCAATGTGCACCGCAACAACTGGTGACGGAAGTAAATTCGACATTGTAACCGGAAGTAGAACGGAAATTGAAGGAAAATTGACTTATCATCTTCCATGACCTTTTAATCGAATTAACGGTTAATAATTTGAATGACAATAACAAATTTTAAAAAATATTGCGAAATTCAAACTCAAATTAGTCAAATATTAATATGGAACGTTTTGTCAACTAAAAGAAATGCGAATCACCCGATTTAAAAGCAACAAACGCTCTTGTATCTAGACGGTATAAAGCTTTTCAATAATTTTAAAACAATTGTTCTTGACACGACTTTGAACTTTGTTTAATATGACTATATAAATCCAAACGGCAGTCTTTACAAAACCCGGTCACGATTTAAACTCGTCTTCCCCGTGTGTGCAGACTTAAGATATATCAATAGACTATTTAAATTCAAAAATAAACTATACATGCACTTATGGGGCGAAAAAAATGGCAGTAAATTTAAATAAACTCTGAAACGGTTTCGTTAATTCGGTTAATATAGACCTTTTTGTAGTATAAATACCGGTGCATTTTGGCTTGTATTTTGTAGGCTTTGTGTGAATTACCAAATAAGTGACAATTCTTTCAATAAGTGACAATTCAATTCAAGGTCTTCAAGGGGAATTCAATTCAGTGACAATTCAATGAGTGACAATTTATATGAGCATATTGTTATTTTGAAACTGTATACTATAAATAAATAAAAATACTGTATGAGCTTGTCATATATTTGATATATATGATTAATAATATGAATCAGTTGGAAAAATAGTTTTTGTCATGCGCAATATCTTTTAAGTGCGTAACTACGTCACTTCCGTCACCACCTGTTGCGGTGCACGTTGAAACAAAATAAGCCAAAATTGTAGTCCCAAAAATTTCGGTTTAATAACCGTTTCTTAAAATTTCCTTGTACAGGTATGCTAAGTGTATCATATCTAAACTGTATACAAAAAATAAAAGGTTTTGGTTCAGAAAGACGCCAGTTATATACATTCGAAATATTTCACGATCGGGGGTTTCATCCCTTTCTATTATTTGTACGTGTAAGCAAAGTCAATCGTTCTAGTATGAGCCCCACGCTACTATGATCAGTCCTTGTAATACAATGTTTGAATTACATGAAGTAGTAGGCATGATATTATCGAAAATCAACATAATTTTCATCGTGATGAAACCTGGATGAAACTATGCGATATATTGGTTGATGACAAGGTATTTTAAATAAACACAATCGTACTTTTCTGCCCCCTGTGCTGAATCAAGGAAAGAATAATCGGTCTTTCTGAATTCTGATTTCTGGTACTGATATTTTTGAAATATACAAGTTCGTGACATTTATGAATCTGGTCAGACTGAATAAATGTGGCATAACATTAAAAAACAAAGCTCTCTCAGCGTGTCAGGAAAAGAACATTACGACTATATTTACAAAAAGGGTATTACTAGCTGTGGTAGTCTCTTTCATCTGAGATATGTTAGTCAGAAAGAAATTGTTTACTTTTAGCGCCTCTCAAGAAATATGTTAATTAGCTATAAATTATGCAAAATCATTGATTATGGGCTCCAGAAAATCTTAACTCGCGCCAAATACAGATTGATACCCGCAGGTTTTTCTTCAGATCTTCTGAAAATAAGTATAAATCATTACAGCCAAACACATTTCAGCGTAATTTTAGGTCCCCATTTGGAGATCTCAGGTTTCGATTTTAGTGTAATTTTGTAGACCGAACAAGAAGCAAAAACCGGTGTGCCGTCAAGTTGCTGTCGTTTATTCACAATTTATTCAAATGCTCTTATTTTTTGGAACAGGGAACCTGAATTGTATCTTAACTTGTTGATCTAGTTGAAATTTGGAAATAGTCAGGCGTTTTGACACAGCGCGGCTCTTCAATTTACCGAAATTCAACCTTCGATTTTGCTTGAAATTAGCTCTGCACGGGTAAAATGAGTTTCGGCGTCTAGCGAAGCCATAAAAAAGAATTTTCAAAAAATAAATTTATTTTGGACACTTGTATACCAATGCCTTTCAACACACAAAAAATAAAGGAAATCTATTTTCCGAAGTCAAAGTCATCGGACCGCTCTTAGCGGGACTGCCACTTAATTGCACAAAACGCCTTGCATAAATCCATACTAAATGTTATTTATCGCGGTTGCACCTGCACACGTTCACCTCAGCTATCCCTATTGAACGATTTCTTCATTATTATACAAAAATACAATGAGCGCTAGCTAGCGCAATCACCGTAAAGGTCGAGACCCATTTTTCATTTGAAAATTAATAAAACAGTCGATGAAAGATATGTACACCAAATAACTCAAAATGCTATAGCGCTTCTAGTGACAATCGCGCCGCGTTGTCAAATCGTGTGTCGTGTGTCTCGGTCTATATGATCCTCAAAATGAATTGTACAGTATAGACACTCACTCCTTTCAATCGAAGTGTAAAGCGCGGAAGTGGAAGCATATAATATGATACTTTTCCCTCACGTACTCCTTAAGCTATAAATTTCTATGGGCAACATGACCAGCTCCGACCAGGAGGCTGCTCCATTTACTGTTCCAGAACGTTTGGAACACTGTTCTGGAACGACATGAAATGGAGTGCACACGGTGTTCTGGAACAGTGTTTAGTTTATTATATATAAGTCCAATTATGTCGATATATATCGGCTAACCCTTCAAAATAACACTCTACAGGGTGTATCATAAAAAACGGAGTCCTCGCTTCAAATATAAATTTCGAAACGAATATTAGAGTAAAACGTTCAGGTTTACATTTGTTTTAAAGCATGGACATTCAGCTTTCCAACGATGGGTTGTTTCGTAAATTTAATCCAGTAGTTCGTGAATAATAGTATTTTAAGTGATTGCGATTGGAGAGTCAAAAATTTGAGATGCAATAACAAATCGGTACTTGATGAAAATAACTTATATTGTCAACAAAACGTACAAATTGAGGCATTTTGGCAATAGCTTGTAACAACTAAGTAATAAAGGCTTCCAATACACTATTTTAAATTCACTTGCTGACTTCAAATGCGTTTATATTCCCAGCTGAAGCGTGTTTTAGCTTGCCGTCAACTTGCTAATTTATGTTAACATTGCGCCCGATTCGATGGCGTTAGTTCGGATGATGCATGGACATAAGATTGTTTTGATGATTTCTGGAAATAATTTCGGATTTTGAAATAAATAAAACAACCTAATCTCTTTTAGAATATTTTTAACAAGTTTTTACTAGTTTTTCTGATGTGGCAACAAGAACATTAAAGTTTGAACAAGAAAATTCAAACATTGTAACCGACTATGGAATATCATAGTAAATTTGTATAATTAAGCGGCATCTAAAAATTATAGGTTTTACTAAATTTTCTCCTGTGCAGTTATTACTTGCACTAAAGACACGGATGACTATTTGTTCGAAAGATAAATGAGCAGGCCTTAAAATAAGCCTAAAACCGTTTTATTAAATATAGCTGGCCGATAGTTATTAAGTACAAAAGATGGACTCCGTTTTTTATGATACACCCTGTATATGCTGTGCATTGATACACAAAATATTTGTCGCCTCAATTACCAATCACGTGAAAATGGGCAGTCACATACTTTTCGTTTTTAAGCGAATAATAATTCTCCAGAAATTCATATCCAAATCAGAAAAACTTTAATTTTTAAAAAAGTGTAGCGAGCCACCTTAAATTGTATTAGGGAGCTCTAGATTTGACTACGAGTACGACTACAAGTACGAGATTCGTCAAGCTAAACGCATGCTGTATGCTTACGCCACCCCGTACTGACGCGAAAAAGTCGTAGCCGTCGCCCATCTGAGTACGAAATTGTGGAGAAATCTCGCAGTCCTCACGACGACTTTTCAAAAAAAAACAAAGAAAGTTGGCTTTTTTTTGTTTTCCAAAAATAATTTGTAGCATTTATATAGCGTTTATCCGGCGCAAATAATATATTATTACTAAATATCTGGCCTGTTTTTAATGTTATGACTTATTTATCATTATCATTATCATTATCATTTACACGTTTTGTAGGGGATTTTAGTCTGCAGGAGATTTAGTTTATGAAACCAGTTTTTCTCTCGTTGGTTTACTGTTATAAAAGCAACATTTGAATAGAAACGAAAACGACTACGGTAATTTCCTCGTACGCGATCAAATCTTGTACTCGTAGTCGTAGTCGTACTCGTAGTCAAATCTAAAGCTCCTTATTATCCCCAAGCCGACGGCGCGAAGCGCCATGCGAGGGTACTAATTCCCCCCGGCTATTTACACCTGGCGAAACGAAAGCATTAGCGAAGTCTAAAGTTCATCAAATATCGCAGGCGTGGGTCACCAACCGTGGGTGGTCACCCTCACTGATCTCAAAAATATGGCGGACTGTCATGAATAGCGAACACTGTGATTGGACCAATTTAAAGTTTGCATTATAACGACTGCATGACGACAGCGGAATAGCAAACATTTCTTTATTTGATGATTGATAAATTTCTTGCAAATATATTTCATTTTTGCTCGCATTTTTGCAAGATTTTGTAAATTTCAAGAAAGAAATGGCGAAAGAAACGGCTAAAAGAAGGGAGCCGACGTTAACGAAGGTTAGTTTGTTTAAATATTGATTTTATAATTGCTTTAAAACCCGACGGCTTTTGCGTATATGAAACAACTAAACAAGACAGCATATCGGGCCCCATTTCAGTGTATCTTTAATATTGTTTCCTTTTTTTATTATATTGAAATTTTTTAAATGAAAAAGAAAGCAAAGTTATTTGCATGCGAGAATTTGAAATCATTTTATTGCAAACTCAAAATTTATCGATAAAGCCATTTAATTAAAGAATTAAAGCAGTTTAGTTTTATAAAGAACACTTTAAAACGTTTTGCAAAGCGTTTGTGGTTGAATTTTACCTTAAATTGAAGCTTATAATTAATACGTATAATATCATACCTAAAATATATATGTTGGGAAATTGATAATTTTGTAATTAAAAGTGATATTTTAAAGCGATTTTTCATTTGTAGGAATATTCTTAAGAAATTATCGTGTTACCATGACAACTACTTTAGATACTTCATGTTCGGAAAATACAATGGTTTTGTCAGCAAGGCGAGGGTTTCTGCATGCATGTATTTTCTAGTTTATATACAATGGATAATAGATGACTCGTCGTGTTTCCGTCCCACTGTACTCCTACATCTTAAAGGCCGTTTGCCAGTAGCTGGAATTTTCCGCGCGGAGCGGAGTTTTCTTTGCCTTGTGAATTCCTGGGTGGAACTAATTAGAAAAGACAAAGAGAAATTCCGCTCCGCGCGGAAAATTCCGCCTAGTGGAAAACGGCCTTAAGGTCGCAATTAATCGACACGAATACGAGCCCGCGTGAGTCGCACGCTCATGCGAGTGCAGAATCTGATGAGCTCTTGAACAGAAGAGAAGACGCATTAAAAATTATTCACAGTTTTTAATGAAAATTAAGTTTTGAAAATTAGTGTCAGAAAATTATTCTTGGAATTGATCACATGGCGCGTATAGTTGTACTCGCTTGAATACATTATTAATTAATTAATACAATATTTCTTGTCATTGATTGCTCGTAAAGTTGACTATAAAATGATATTAATACGCACTCGCGCTATTATAAATATTTCGCCAAACACGCGGGTGATTTTTCATTAGTACTTCTCGAACCGTGTAATTTCCTATACAAATTTAAATTAACCTCAATCGCTTCGTGTCAACTATAAAAATAGGTACGCATTGCGTACATGTGGTACACTGGTTAGCTTATCGGATTGGCAATTGTTATAGCGTATAGCTAATTTCGTTCAAAATAAATAAATTAATTGCTCGTTTGCAATAATGGCTATCTTGGTTGATTTTTCAACCATTGAACAATAAAATTATTATTTTTCATTCTTTGTAGTACGAAATGTTAAATTGACTCTACTATTTCGCTGTAATCGGCTAAAATAAATTTTAAAACTCTTTCTCGCTCAGTCCCAAGCATCGTAGGTCGCTAGAAGCTGCCAGCCATTGCATGTTCATATCTTGAGTTCAGTGCATGCTATGAAGACAATAATACCACCATTTGATCCAGTGAAACAATATCAACTAATTCCTTGCAATAGTCATTATCAACATTGTGGCGATTTATGGCCTCTGAAAGTCAAGCGAGATTGTATATTATCAAATTACTTAATTGTTTGAACAAAAATATAGACTGACCGTACCTTTCGGCCACGCTGCAGGGGTAATTTGACCTTTAGAATCGATTCCCGACGTTTCCCAAGCGCTAGGATGTAAACATAGCATTGTTTCGACAATTTAATTTGTATTTCCGGTTGAAGCTCTTGCTAAAAATTAGATCCTCTGAAATACCAAAATAAAAGGCAAATATGTAGTTCAAGCTTGAAAATAACACTCTAAATGGTGTGATTCCAAAAAGAGCTATTAAAAAAAAGCTACGAAAAAGATATGTTGAAAGGGGCCCAAGTTATGTTCGGCGAAAGATATGCCTTAATTAGTAATACATTGTTTTTACATTGTTCGGGAAAATTGTGTAATCTAATGAAATATGGATCGCTTGATCTCCAAAGGTCGTACATCCCTATAATGTTGACATTTTACTTTTACTTTCGATTGGAATTATTTCACTGAATCGAACGGTGGTATTTTCATCTACATAGCATGCACTGAACAAAAGATATGAACCTCCAAATAAACCAATGATATCGAATAAACCAACGGCTCTTTCGTATGCATTTTAACTACAAAATTCCGTGCATGCATGCACAGGCTAAGCACTGTCATACGAAACATTTTACTGTCACACGAAACATTTTTATGGGTTTCTACACTGTAGTTTCCTTTACATTTTAAGTCTTCTTTAAATTACACAGGGTAATTTAGGAAACTTACAGCTTCTTTGAAAAAGAAAGCATGTTTTAGGAAAAAAATTGAAGCAACAAAGCTCATAAATATTAAAGCCATTAAATCTTGCTTAACCACTACTGCCAATTGAGCCATATTTTTGAGATCAGTGGAAGTCCACCCATGAACCATAGTCACACGCGCCCGCGTTAATCGATGAACTTTAGACTTTACTAAGCTAAGGCTTCCCTTTCCCCAGGTGAAAATTGCCATGCAAGCGGAATTATTACCCTCGGCCTGGCCTAGCACCCTGAACGGCGCTTCTCGCCGTTGGCTCGTGGTCATGCAAAAATTATACAATGGGATTTACGGCATTCAATTTTCACTGACCGGTAAAGCAAGGGAAACGTTCGCCAATTTCTGACTAAGTTTTTGTCCAAATAGAACCAAATCTTTATCGATTTGTCCTTGGCCTATTATAATAGACAATTCCCATTATAGACTAATTTTAGAACTAGGCAAGGAGATGCAAATAAATCACCACAGCTAGAAAGAGCATACTAAAATTAGTAAAATTGCAAAGTTTGGTTGCGAAATGTTGTAAAATGCAGAAAATATAGCCTTGCAAAGTTTGCAAATTTTGTATACTTTTGTATTGCGTGCGGAAATTCCTACCACATTTGGGCCCGAATGTGGTAGGAATTCCGCACGCAATACAAAATGACTGAAAATTTGCAAACTTTGCAAGGCTGTATTTTCTGCATTTTACAACATTTCGCAACCAAACTTTGCAATTTTACTAATTTTAGTACGCTCTTTCTAGCTGTGGTGATTTATTTGCATCTCCTTGCCTAGTTTTAAAATTAGTCTATAATGGGAATTGTCTATTAGCCATTCAAATTTTCGTTGTAAATCGTTTGGTATTTTTTGAGTTATCGTGCTAAAAGTCAAACACACAAAATGCAACATTGCCTTTTGCAACTTGCTCATAATTTTGCGACAAGCCATTCACGAACACATCTATTTGACAAGTTGGGAGATTTTTACGCGTGTATTTCTAAGAACAAAAAGAGTAAGCAACGAACTTCTAACCCAGACTCTACCTCGTGCATGTTTCCTCAATTTAATTTCTTGCTTTCTCTTCATCCAGGTACTAACTATGCCAAATACGCCAGTAAAGAAATATTACGGCTTGCTGTTCTCTGCCCTATTAGCCGTAAACATTTCGCTCATGATTTATTTCTATGGAATGAAACAAGAACTACACCCTGCCAGCCTGAAGCAAATAGTTGTGGTGAACAAACGTTTTGATTCCGTGCAACCAACACTTAATGTTGTTGAAGAACCAGTGACGCTTTTTATGCGGATGACTGGATTGCACATAAAGCGATTTTACTGTGACTTTTTGAGGACAGCTGTCTTGTTTTGGCCTGCTTCGTATGGCAAACTTGTCCTGGTATTCGACCAGGAATCATTCCTGGATCACAAACTAGCCAAAATTATCGAAAGACAGTTTGATCTATTCTTTCCAGATCGCAAACTTGAAATACTCTACGAGCCTCTTCCCACGAACCATGAAACGCTCTTGAAGCTTCCTTGGCGCGCGACTGGCTATAATCGTCAAATTTGGAGCAGCTTTTTCAATGATGTGTACACGAATGACGCAGTCATTGCATGGGTGGATTCTGACAGTGCATTCTGCACATCGGTGACGCGAAATTCCATGTACAACGGTACACGATTGAGAGTGATAGGAACTGATTGCACAGTATTGAACAACAGACGTTGCGTGAAGAGCGCGGAGATCTCCATTGGGTTACCGGCTGTAGCCGACTTCATGATGCATTTTCCAATATACATATATCGTGATACGTTTGCTAACTGTAGAGAATACTTAATGCGGAGATCTAAAGCGCGCAACTTTGAGGAATTCTACAGGAATATTAGTGCTTACGGCTTAATTTGTCCCGTTACGACAATACTTAACTACGCATGGCACTTCGAGAGAGATCGCTACGACTGGAGTCTGAAGATTTGCTCAGCACCGCTCGATGAATACAACAATCGCTTTCAGCCTAGCGCGAAAATCCGACCTTACGACATACAACCTGTCTTGGCAGCTCCTCAATCAAGCGTTCATACTCCTAATCCTGGGTCGGCGTATCGTTCCGCTCAGTTAATTCTAGCCAGTTACTGTTTGTCGCACAAAGCGGCGGGACACAATCTAACATTCTGCACCGGCAAACGTGACCTTCCGCTGAGCAATAACCTTATTCTTTTCAAATATGCAAGAGCGCCTGAAACGTGCAGTGGGACTTTGACATTGATTTGTCTGGATGTTCTACAGCGTCATCACGATCTAGTAGGCTCTGAAATTCTAGAGAACAAGCGCAGGTTGGAATGGAGCGACGTGGAAATTGTTGAAAAACTTGTGAAGGAAGTAAATGCTACGTGTCCTGTTCTTCATAACGGAAGCCCAAGGGGGAGAATTACTATTGTATAAAGGGTAAGGCCTGTTTGCACCAGTGAACTCCCGATACAGGCTGTATAAAAAATACGAGACCTTTAGAAATCAAGCTATTGGTGGAATTTGAATGAACGGCACTATGCTGAACCATAGCCTATCGAAGGGAAGATGGCTGTGAAATTTATTATAATAATAATATAACTCATTATCTATGTTGATCAACGTTTATTCGTGTATTGTATTTTTGCCCAACTAACCAATAGGAATGTTTTTATAGGAAAGTCACCTATGCGTGACTCGAACAATAGGGAAACTGGAAATTGCTATTGGTGGATTTGGTAAAAATACAATACACACGTGATGGTGAAAGGACCAGATTATGAATAAACGTTGACTAGCATAGTTAATGAGTTATATTGTTATTCTAATGAGTTTCACAGCCGTCTTCCCTTCGATAGGCCATGGCTGAACCCACAGGTGCGCAAAACAGAACAGAAATGAATTTTTGGATGACGAATTTATTTAAAACTTCAAATTGGTTTCGTCCGACATATGAATAATGTGCTGATTAATTTAACGCAGCGCGTATAAAAACAGTAAGCTCGTTGCTGAGTATAACATCTTGTGCTTTAAAACAATAGCATGATTTCTAAAGTTCTCGTTTTTTATACACCCTGTATTCAGTCATTCGATCCATGGGGAAAGTGAGTCCAGGATGTCAGAATTAACATCCAAATAGCTATACAGGTCGTAAACAGTTTTAGTACTATTTTTCCTAGCTAATTCTGGTTTCTTTCTAGCGGACCGTTTCGATATTCATGTTAATGAGCATGTTCATCACTATACTGGAGTTTCCGAGTTTGGTATATATATGAGCACGTTCATGAGTATACCTACTTTTATAGATTCCCTGTATGTATTCGTAATGGGAGCCCATGGTGAAAATCTCTATTTTATAAAAATTAAGTTCAAAAATTAGGTTCTGCGAGGATGTTCCCCAAAGAGTGAATGGGGATAATCGTGTCTATATTTAGCTCAATAGCCCTGGGTAGGACATGATTGGGTATGGCTTTCAGCTTGGATTGCAGAAGAATAGGAACTTTGATATTTAAAGTGACTCCCTAGAATATATAAAAACATTGAAAATCCATAAATTATATCAAACGCTTTGAAAGAATGTCGCCTGTTAGAAATAAAAAAATTTACACATTATATAGAGCAACGCTGAATCTGTAACGCGGCAAGCACTATGCTTGTTAGACTGATATGCTCACAACAGAGTAAGAGTGAAGAACAATTTATTTGGAAGGATCGTAGGCTATTCTTATATATTACAGATTTGTGTGCGTCGGTTACTTATTTGACAATTAGCTATTATCGCGTCGTAATAGTACGTGCGGACCATAGAAATAATAGATATAGAATGCGTATACTTGATCACGATTCGAATCATGTCTCCACTTTTTCTCATGCGTGCCCTTATAAATCCGCCATGTTGAATTTGACTTAGAGTGCAAACTACAAAGTATAAACAAAGCTAAAACTACGTTTTCATCTTCAAAACGTTTCGTCTTGTTGTCTAATTTGTAGTTTGGGGATAGATTTTGAAATATTTAGTTTTTCGGCAATTAAGCATTTGTTTTGTTGAATGTTGAATTTGATCGATTGCTGACCAAGCAGGATTTTCCTACGCAGCTGCGACGAGAGCCGAGTTTCAAGGCAAGAAAATTGTCGAAAAGTCTTTCAAAATTTCAAAACAAAAAAAATTAACCTAAAATACAAAAAAGGGCTTTGGCAGGGTTAAAGAACTTTCTTATGATCAATAAGGTTTTGTTGGGGAAAGTTGATTAAATTGAGAAGGAAAAGTTGATTGAAAGTTGAGTAAATTTTACAATGTTCTTTAACTACTGATTATTATATTACACTGAACAGTGAAGAATATTTTAATTTGCTTTTTGAACATGCGAAGAATTGCAAACTTTATTTGCAGATGGGAAGCATGAATTTGACACCATGCATCTGAAACAAAAATACAATTAGAACTCGGAGCATAGCAGTTGTAATGGGCGCGAAAAAGACTAAAAATGGTTTAAAATTCGATAAAAATTCACTGTGTTACCATGAAAATATTTTAGCTACTGTTTTGTAGCCATAGGCGTTTATTTATTAAATTCGATCAATCTTGCGATGTGAATGCAGACCTGCAGTGGCAGAGTGACGTTTTAGTCTTTATTATTGAAAACGGGAAGGAAAGTCTTGCCGATATCACGCACATACACGCTCACTTCACAACCAACACAGTGGTCGGTTGCTATGCAAATTACTCCCGCTTGGAAGTTGTGGTTATAGGTATGGCGCAACAATGTTTAAGAGAGGTGAAGTCGGGCAACGAAAGAGAGTAGCTATTAAATACAAGTTTAATTAATAATAAAATTCACTACAAATACAATTCTTCCCAGGCAAATATTTTGCACATTGGCAGAACATTGTCGAATACATTCGGTGAAATCTTATTACGGGTAAATATTATCATCAGCATGTGATTACGTAATATCAATGAAATTCAAACACCAGCAGAAAGAACAAGAATCGGGCTCGTTCGAATTATACAATGGGCTAATTACGTATTGCATCGGTTTGATAGTTCTCAAACACAGGCAAATGGAAACATGCACGCACACACAGACACACACAAACATAAACGCGGTTGAAAACATGATCTCCTGGGCCCATTTCTATAAAGAAGTGGTTAAAGTCTACCATAGTTAGTGGAAAACGTAGCGTGGGACTGTTTTAGTCCACGAGTCAACCGCGCGGAGCACCGTACTACCCGAGCGGCGAGGGTACTAATTCTGCACGGCTATTTACCCACCGTGGAAAGGAATTCTACAATAAGAATAAAGATGCTTTTATATATGATGCAACAGTATGTACATATATTCAACCATAATATTCGGAGTAACTTTTATTCTATGGTTGCTGAAATTATCAGCCGGAAAAGGATTTAATTTGTTTGCTTTATACAGTGCCGCGCCTAGAGAATTCGTGTGCCCCGGAACAAATCTTCTCTGGGGGCACAATGAAATCGTTATTTTTAAGCTAGACCCAAGTTATTCACCCAAATAGACCTTAGTTAGACTGCATGTGGAGCTACTGTAAGTGGCCGTCGATCTCAAAAATGCTCCGACCAATTTAATGAACCCACTCAATTTTAGGTTCTCTCTTATATTACGTATAATAACGTATAATTGCTGACGCAGCGAGCGAGCCTGAAGCGAGCGAGCAAGTCAGCAGTTCTAATTCGTATTGGGCTCTGAAAGTAATATTTTACTTCGGTTTCTCCAACCAGAATGCACTGCTGTTAATCGACCAGAATGCATTGCTGTTAGCCGACCAGAATTCTTTGCATGCATGATGCTATAAATATGGGGAATCTCATTAGTCAGTTTATATAAGCCGGTAACGATGCAGTTCTTTTGGTGTATTTTGTATTTCATTGTATGCCTGGTCTGTTGATTTCTGGCTGGTCTTACACTATATATACTGAATTTGTTTATTACAAACAATTTATAACGCTTCGAAAGCGAATTTATGCGTTTGTGCTCTTCGCCTTATTTTCTTTTGTCTTTTCTTATTTTATGTAGCACTTAGCAGTAAAATCAACATTGTATTTGCACGTCTGAAAGCGTTCATTTCAAGCATTAATTAAAAGCGAATCAATTATTGTCCGTCAGTTTCACTTTGCTATAATTTAAACAGGGTTTAGGTTGCAGAACTTTTGTTTGAATATGATTTGACAATAAGGTAATTGACACGGAGACATGGCATGAACAGTTGGGCAACTGCCAACTATGTTTATAGCATGGCGTTTTAAAAGAACGATATGCTATTTCATGGGTTAACTAAATGTACTTTGGCTGCCAAAAAGCACACTACACTATACTCAGTGCATACACAACATAGTTTAATTTGTGCATGGGCATTGTTTAAGCATGAAACGCAGCCAGGGGCAAGTCAGTAGGATCGTGCATGGGATTGAAGTAAGTGCATTGAATATTTTTATAATTGATCATGCTTTTGTTATTGCATGTGTCGAAACATTAAAAACAATGTCCTCAACTCTACAGGGTGCATCAAAACACCTGGAAACCTTTGAAGTACAGGGTGTCCCCCAAAAAAGTACCATCTATAGAAATTATCATAGTGTTATAATTTGAATGCCTGAGCACTATGCTGAACACAAGAGCGCGTAAACACAATTGAATTGAATTTTTAATTACCAGGAGAATAAAAAATCCGGGGCTTAACAAGAATAGGATAATTTCTATAGATGGTACTTTTTTGGGGACACCCTGTACAATGTTTTTAGAATTTGCATGATTCAGAACTAATTGATCCCAAGCATGCGTAAACACAATAGTTGACCATTCGCAGTCGAACTGATTTGATACACCTTGTAGTTTTCGAAGTAACCTGGCTTGAATTTGACGTCCTTGGATGCAAGTTTTACTCCATGACCATGTTGTTCGATATTCAGTTCTTAAACAATCGACTTCACTTCAGTAAAATCAAAAGAAAGGCAATTTGTCGAAGAAGTATATTCAAGCGAAGTAAAATATCAGCTAAGCACTTTCCTCTTTCTTTAGCCTGGTTCACATATATGCCTGCGGTAAACCTGCGCTATCATTGTTCACAGCTTTTCAGCCGAGCAGTTGTTGTCAATAGCCCGCCGACATACCGCAGGTGTAAGTAGGTATATGTGAACCGGGCTTTTATGTTTACTAGCCATTTAAAAGTCCGTGCTTTATCAGATAAAACATTCGAGCTGCGCTCACGTGTTTTATATCTGATAAAGCACTCCTGCTCGCGTTTTAAATAGTACATATCGGACAGTCCGCACTCACTGTACAGTTGTGGTCTTGTGATAGTTTGAAGTATATGTGTGGTCTTTAATAGTGATACAGTGTATCGTTGTTGTGTAATTAAAAGCATTGAATAATCTGTGTGCTTTTAAAATAATTATTGGCTGATATTGTGGTCTATAGTGAAAAGGTTCCAAAAATGGGTGCAAGTTTCCATACTTTTGTCGTTCTGATATCACAGATATTAGAGTAACGGTAGGATAGAAAGATTAAAAAGAGTTTATGGTTAGATTCTCGTGTTCGCGCACAATAAAGCTAGGGTTAGGGATGCGTTGTGATTAGGGTCAAGATCAAATATATATATTTCTGACCGAAACAAGGATTTATTCATATTTACAATAATGACGTCACAACGATTAAGTTAGTGTTGAGCTTACTGTCAGTTACAATGGGTTAGGAGCTCACGAGATTGTATTTAAACTGGGGTGCGTTGTTAATTTGGAAAGATGAGGCCTTTTTTATATATCGTCAAATTAAGGAGCAAGTCAGCATTTATACTACTGA